CAGACATTTTCAGCTAGCAAAATCATTCATAAAAAAAAAAAATGTAGAACTCAACATAGACTCCCAAAGCTGCTTTGGTTGATGTGGAGGTAACAGCCTGCAGCCCCATTGGCTTCACCCCCTCCTCTCATGGGCACCCCAGAGCTCTACCATGCTCAGTATAGAAACTCCTAGTTTGAAACAGGATGGTAATATGGGCAAAGACATGATCTCAGCAGCCAAGGGGGCCTTAACCAGTCTCCTGCAATTGTGTCTACATTCTTTAATTCCCATTCAAAACACCCTGTAGTTTGATGATGGAATGCCTAATAAAAAGAGGTCATTTTTATTACTCCCTTCAGCCAACCATCCTGTGTTACATCCAAGTGTGTCCATGTTCCCAAAAGAGCAAAGAGTGACTACATAAAACCTCTCCAAGCCACAACCATACACCTTCCAAAGGGCTCAAGGAAACCATCTTTGTGCATTGTGGACCTTTGACTTTACTGAAGCAGAGGCAGCAAGGACCTGCCAATGGTGTTGTGAATGGACTGGGACATCTGCTTGGGGGCCAGGTGGGAGAGCCTCTCGGATTCTTCCCACTGTGAGTTTCCCCACGTCTCTGGTCAAACAGTAGCTCTGGCGGACAATGACCAAAGCAAGGTTTGTTTCTCTGTGGTCCGGTGCAGTGTGCGCTGATCGTCAGAGTCCTGGGTGGCTCTTTATTCCCTGGGAACATTAGACTCTGCCTTTACCCCCTCAGCTTTTTCATCTTCCATGTCAGATCATGGGGGCCTCGAATTTAGATCTCAATGTTGGCCCTTGAAATCTAAACATGAAGTTGTGGGCAAAGACTTAGTAGCAAAATATTGCTTTTGATTATAAATCAGATATCCAACCATCTGTACAAATATACTGGCCAAATTCATCTACAGGAAGAATCTTCTCAAATTCATTTTCAGGTTATAATTTAAGGGATGCTTCATCCTCGCCACTGTCCCCATCCTTCCCATCCCCCCACCACACACCACTGCCACAGGCAGGATTGACCTCAAGCTCGTGCCAGCCCACGGGAATCCAAACTCTCCCTTATTCTTTTCGTTATTTCCAGTAAAACGGCAGCCCTGCTCTGTGTCGGATCCCCTCGCCTGTGCCGTGGGCGGGGCTCTTCCTCCCGCCTGAGATAATGCTTGGCTCCACCAATGATCTGCCCCTCCGTGCACCTCTCTGCTGTCCCCATCCATCAGCATTTGCACCTGCTTCACTGTCTGCTGAGTTCATGGTCACTAGCTGTTGCCCGGTCCTTCTGCTTCCCTTCATGGTCAAACATAGTTGAGGGAATTGCGTCTACATTCTTTAATTCCCGTTCCTCACTGCCCATTCAATCCTCACAGACCTTGCGTTACCAAGGGCACCTGTGGGTTGTTTGGTGTTTTTTCATTGCGAAATATATTTGGCATCTTTGGCTTCTCAAAAGTACCTAGACTTTTGAAAACTTTTTTTTTGTTTAAAAAAAAAGGAGCTGATACCAGGGGCTCAAGTGGAAAGCAAATGTTTTGAGAATAATGAGGGCAACAAATGTACAAATGTGCTTGACACAATGGATGGATGGGTTGTGATAAGCGTTGTATAAGCCACCAATAAAATGATTTTTTTAAATGTACAACCTCAAATGGGAAGCTGATATCAGGGGCTCAAGTGGGAAGAAAATGCCTTGAAAATGATGATGGCGGCATAGGTGCAAATGTGCTTGACACACTGGATGAATGTATGGATTTTTATAAGAGATGTAAAAGCCCCCCAAAAAAGTATTTTTTTAAAAGGCAACAAACACCCATTTGGTTAACAAATATTTATTGAGTGCCCAGAATGAAAGCTAGAGCAATAAACCAGGTCTCTGCCATTGTGGCATTCACATTAAGAGGCAAAGGAGAGCCAAGCAACAGGCAAATAATTGAAAGATCATTCCAGAGGGTTGTAAGTGCTATGAAGACAAAGTAAGAGAAGCTAAATAAAAAGTAACAGGGAAACAGCACTGAGAGGTCGAGGGAAGCATCTCTAAGTGGGAATATTTGAGCAGAAGATGCGTAGGCAAAAATCACGGGAAGAGCATCTAAGACAAGAACAAGCGCCGACATACATATAAACAGCATCATGCTTACATGTATGAAAGGGAAGGCTAGAAGGGAATAGGAAAATGTAGTCCTACTAGATAAGGAAGGGTTTCTGAGTCAAAAGGGGAGTGGACCAGACCTAGAAGAACAGTGAGCCGTGTAGCCTTATGGGATAAGGTTTGACTTTCCCTCTTGGTCTATTGATCTCTTAAGTAGAAAGGGTTGGAGGGATTGAGGGGGTGGTTGGGAAACAATCTAATGCCTGTTTCTTTCTCCCCGCTTTAGGAGCCAATAAGCAAACCAGCCAGACTTGGATTACAAGCTAGAATGGGTTCTGGAGTGAACTCAGCTGGAACCTGAGCAGTGATGAAGCCATTCCAAGCCCCCTCCTTCCATCTCTCAACCCTGGGCTGAGCACAGAAAGTGGTTCAGAAGGGTATCTACCAGGCTACAGTGGAACCTTATGTCAACACCAAGCCCCTGAGGGAGCGTGTTAAAATGCAGTCTTCTTGACAAATGGGTGCGTAAGTAAATGTGGTGAAGGAAGCTGATGGTACCCGGCTATCAAAACATATAGTGTCTGGGGTCTTAAAGGCTTGAAGGTAAGCAAGCAGCCACCTAGCTCAGAACCAACAAAGCCCATGTGGAAGGAACATGCCAGCCTGTGTGATCACGAGGTGCCGAAGGGTTCAGGTATCAGGCATCAAAGAACAAAAAATCATATTGTGAATGAGGGAGAGTGCAGATTGGGGACCAAGACCCATCTGTAGGCAACTGGGCATCTCCTTACAGAAGGGTAGCGGGGAAGAGAGGAGCCAGTCAGGGTGCAGTGTAGCAACGATGAAACATACAACTTTCCTCTAGTTCTCAAATGCTTCCTCCACCACCACCACCACAATACCCCCATCATGATCCCAGTTCTACCTTATAAATCTGGCTGGACCAGAGGATATACACTGGTACAGATAGGAACTGGAAACAGGGAATCCAGGACAGATGATCCCTTCAGGACCAGTGCCGAGAGTGACGATACCAGGAGGGTGAAGGGAAGGCCGGGTGGAAAGGGAGAACCAATTACAAGGATCTACATATAACCTCCTCCCTGGGGGACAGACAACAGAAGGGTGAGTGAAAGGAGACATTGGACAGTGTAAGATATGACAAAATAATAATTTATAAATTATCAAGGGTTCAAGAAGGAGGGGGGAGCAGGGAGGGAGAAGGGAAAATGAGGAGCTGATGCCAAGGGCTTAAGTGGAGAGGAAATGTTTTGAGAATGATGAGAGCAAAGAATGTACAAATGTGCTTTGCACAATGGATGTATGTATGGATTGTGATAAGAGTTGTATGAGGCCCCAATAAAAAGATTTTTTTTAAATGCAGTCTTCTCTCAGGATCAAGCCCCAGGGGTCAGGGTCACTAAGGGAGCGTGAAATCAGCCTGGAAATTGGATGAGCTCGTGTATTTGTGCCTCAGGCAGAAAAGTGGAGCTCAAAGATACTCTCCCAAAGCTAAGTCCCCTGCAACACACCAACACATACACACACTGACTTCAATGTACAGTGGTCATGGGTGGGTAACTTACTGCCCAGAGCGTGTGTATGTGGATAAGGAGTGTGAGTTTATTCTTATGGCCCTGATCAGAAGGATCCCAAGATCTCCTGTACAGATGTTTAGAGCCCAAAAGATATTTTTCAGAAATCCAAGTCTTTCCCATTGGGCTGCTTACTGAAGGTGGGAGCAAACCAGAGAGAAGAGAGGAGAGGTCAAGCCCCAACCCTGTCCCGTTATCATTGGTTTCATCCCCCCCACATCTTAGTCTCCTACACAGGGACAAAAGTCAGGCTATTTAACATCCTCCAATTCAACCCTGTCCCATTGTAATTGGCTTCAAACCCAACACATCGTCATCTCCTACACAGGGACTCAACCCTTCAGCCACTCAATGCCCTCTTCCCCACTTCTAAGGTCATTCTCTCCTATAATTTTGCGGGTCCTACTACATCATTAGACTGAATTTGTGAAGGCGCCTAATCAAAGACATGGAGAGACCGGGCCTCAGCGTTCCCAGGGATGCAGTGCACTGCGGGCTGGAACAGCAACTCTCTAAACACCCGCTTCTGATGGCATCAAAGAAGCCATCGGCCTGTGTCCTGAGGTGAGAAGCAGGGGGCAGGCTTTTCCTGTCTTGTGGGGTCCCATCCAGCAGCCCTGCCTCCAGGTTCCCTCAGGAGAGGGAGGAGGGCAGGATTTCATAGTTGAAGCCAGAATATTCGTGCAAATGATTCAAGCTGAATAATTTGAAAAACAGTTCATTCTGAAGACTGAGCAAGGCTCTAAGGCAGTGCATCAGAGCATTTGCTTTCACGGGACTGAAACCAGGAGGAGGGGTTCACAGCACCCAGTATGAAGTTGCCGACAGAGATCTAAGAAGGGGGAGTGGGTGGGAGCAGCTTTCTGATGGCTACTCTCCCTGCTTCTGCACCTTGGCTACATCTCACCACGGATTTAGACAACCCTCGCCTTCCCTGGGTATGAGTTTGCATGTCTGAATTTTATGACAGTGTAATATTTTACTCGGAAAAAATAACCTGAATGTGTCCCATAATTAGGGCTCGGATTAAGGAAGCTAATGGAAAGGAAAATTCACCAGGGAAAAGAGAAACCCTGACAGAGAACTAGGGTAGAGACACAGGATCAAGCCAGACTCAACAACAGGGTGCTGGGGACAGCGGGGAGTAAAGATTGGAGACAACACATTGGTTGGCACTTGAAACCATCTTGATCAAGCCTTAGGGGCCTGTGAATGTGCTGGGGAAGGAAGAACTTCAGGCAAAAGCAGTGAGCTGTGTCACTGAGCTAAGGAGGGCTGCTGAGGACCCACCTACTGGTGATGCCCCTTCTCACCTCCAGCAGGTTGTCCCACAGCCCCTACACCAAGGGGGCTGGGGGCATCTGCAGTTGTCACATCAGCAGGTGTCTGTCCCTGCATCATATTCGAAGCCAGATAACTTGTCCAAAGGCATGTGGGTTGAGAAGCCGTGAGTCTAAGACCTGAGACCATCCATTCACCTGAAATCCCACCTTGGTCACTTCTTCCTCGTAGGTGGCTTGATCCTCCTTTTCAATCTGGTTGACAAAAGAGAAAGAGAAAAACCCATCGCATTGGTAAGTGACGTGCGCGCTCTCTCCAAACGGAATTAACTCAACTGTGGATTGACAGACTACTGTGTAGCTTCTTTCCCTTTGCAGAAATCCAGCCCCCAGAGCCCCTCTCTTCAGCTTTCTCTATTCTGATCATCTCTGGAAAAAATACTATGGCCATGGGTCTTCCTGGCCTGAGCCTTCAGTTATCTTTATGATCATTTGACTTGGGTAATCATTGCTGATGATCTTGAAACACACACACACACACACACACAAAGGAACTCAAAGTCCTACCACCCTGCACACAGACTTTGAGAGAAAACCAGCCTTACTCCCCAGACACTAAAAGACACGAATGCGCATACACATAAAATATCTGGGCTCACATGATAAAATTGAGGTCACATTAGTGCATCCTTATTTGGGGGAGATAGACTAGACTGTGCTCAAGAAGATAAGCAATGCTAAGTAAAAACAAGATAACCCGGTGGTTGCGGGCAGGTTTCTCCACCTGAGGGGTTGCGTTACATAGCTGCAATTCATACAGGTAACAGAACTACTGTGAAACAAGGCTTTGTTGAACACTCAGAATACGGCCAAAGTTCTTCATAATGAATAAACAGAAAGCAGCGAGATACAGATATTAAGGATGTGACGTATTTTCCACTGTGGGTGGAGTTCATAGGGATTATAGCTTTGCTCTCTTGGCTAGCTTAGGGAATTTTAAAAATCAGAAATAAAATTCATATGCAGGTGTTAAATAAAAGGGCAGTACAAAACATAGAGAGAATCTAATCAGTCATACTGATTGAAAAGGAAAACAATGAAACTGTCTCTATTGACAAACATCATGACTGTCAATGGAGAAAACTTCAGAGAGCTTATGAAAAAAAAGTTACTAATACTAAGAAGTGAGTATAGCCAGGTCACAGAACACAAGGTCAATATACAAAAATCCATTATATTTACTTATACCAGCAGTGAACAATCAGAAATTAACATTTTCAAAGTACCACTTAAAATAGAACAAAATCACTATGAGTTACCTAGGTATAAAGCAGACAAAATATGTGCAAGATCTGTGTATTAAAAGCTATAAAACAAAAAAGATCCACAGGAATGAAGATGTATACCATGTTCATGGATTAAGAGGTTCAGTAGTGCTACAGTTCTCCCAAATTAATGTACAGATTCAACCCCGTCCCAGTCAAAAATCACATCAGGATAATATTGTGGAAATTGGCACAACGGAATTTATATGGAAAGTAAGGGAACAAGATTAATCAGAACAATATTTAAAATGACAAAAATGGAAGAAGATTCAATAAGTACTTATTGACTGGTTTCAATAAGTACTATAAAGCTGAAATAATCAAGACAGTGAGGTACCAGTAAAAGAAAAGGCCTAGAGATTAGTAGAACATAATAGAAAGTATAGAGATAAACACACACATATATGGTCAGCAAATGAGGCTTTATACTCCCCGTGAAGAGTTACAGACTCTGAAACCCACCAGAGCCATTCTACCCTGTCCTGTAGGGTTGCTATGAATCACAATTGGCTCCATGGCAGTGACTGATTGAATGATATATGGTCATTTGAGTTTTGATAAACATATAGAAGCAACTTAGTATAGAAAAGATAGTCTTTTCAACAAATCACTCTGGAACAACTGAACATTCATATGCACCCAATCAAAAAACTCCTGAAACTCAACCACATCATTGATTAAATATTTAGTTCTAGATGGAAAAATATACCTAAATGCAAAACTTAAAATTTCTAGAAGCAAATCTGTGACCGGAAGTTAAGCAGAGATTTCTCATCTACATACAAAAAAAGCATGAATCATAAAAAGAGCTGATAAAGTGGACTTTATCCAAATATTAAGCTTCTGTTCTTCAAAAGACTTACCAAAATAAAAGGAAAACCACCAATTGGGGGAAAAAAATACATGCCAAACATTTATTTGTTAGAGGACTTGTATCCAGAATATCTTGTTAAAATTCTCAAAATTCAATAATAATAATAAGGCAGCAACCACACAATTGTTTTTAAACTGGCAAAAAATGAGCAAACACTTCATGAAACAAGCTATGTGGATGGCGTCTGGGCTCCTGAAAAGATGTTCAGTAGAATCAGTCCTTAAGTAGAGCACGATTCAAGCGTTCCGTCACCTGAAACGTGTGAAAGCAATACTGCACTCTGCGAGGACAAGACCTTGATTGAGAGCTCGAGCCCTTTTCTTAGTTTTGCTCTGACCTGGGAAATGCTAGGTTAATTCCTGACTTGGGTTGGCTGAAGAGGCCAAAATTAGATTGCCAGGGCATAACCAAAGGCATCCTGGCGGTACTGTGGGCTAAGGACTGGATTGCTAATCCTAAGGTTGATGGTTCAAACCCACCAACCACTCCGTGGGGAAAAGCCGAGGTTGTCTACTCCTGGAGAGTTTTACAGCCTCAGATATGCCAGGAAGCCATTCTATTCCATCCTAGAGGGTTGCGATAAGTCAGGACTGAGTCCATGACGGTCGTCTTTGATGGTTTTTGTTTGTTTTGTTGCATATTTTAAGGCATAATCACTGAGGTTCTGAAACATGACTAGAAAGTCAGAGGTTGTCGCCTGGGGGAAATAGAGGGAGCGTTCAGAACCACGATTGGAAGGGCTAGTTTGCCTAGTTCCGCACAATGAGGAGGAGAGAGTAGAGTCTGCCCTTTTTATTTCAAGAAGCCTAAGAGGAAGACAAACCATACCATGGGCCAAGTTTGGGTCTGCGTGCCTGGGCAGCAGCACACAGCTCTCCCCAGCTTCCAGCAGCTGGTACACATACTTGTAATTATCAGTGTACACTATCAGACCCCTGATATTAATTCCTTATGGGTGAGCACTCTTCTGAAATAAATTCTAGCTTGTCAATCACATTAATGTGTATCATTGCAAGGATGTAAATATGTATAAGTCTGTGTAGGTCCTAATAATTCCAAATAAACTCAAAACAATATGTAATATAAAACTTTCCCCCTATATTTAAAGGGGGAAATGGAGTATTTTCAGCCTTTTTATGGGAGGAATCAGCATGTAGTCCATTCAGCTGATGACCCTGGTCCTCAATTTGACAAATGCCTACCTGGGCCCAGCCCTCCGCAATGAGTGATCAACAAAGCACAAAGCCAGAGTTTACTTCCATTTGAGACTCAAGATTAGTTTCTTAGAGGCCAAATGTATGATGTCTGGACACCATCAGTCATCTTTCCTGGGCTTTGATTTTTATTGACTGCTGAAATGAAAGAAGGGAATTAGCAAGAGACTGAAAAAGGAGAGGGACTAGGGAGATTAGAACCACTGAGTGTAGGTTTAGAGTGGAGCCATCCAGTCTCTGTGTTGTCCCCTAGAGGGATCAACAGTCTCACTGAGGGATGGATCACTCATAAATGCCACCTGAGCAGCTGGCATCCCTCATCCCCTTTGAGTGCCCACAGCTATGCACATGGTCTTGATAGACTATATTTGCAGAATAAATTGGACCTCCAGGCTTTTAGTGTGGGGGCTCAACTTGGTACAAGAGAAATGCTATGAACAAATGAGTCAAAGGGACTCACAGTGCTGTCCAAAATTTGCATGACCGATAGACCCCCAAACCACGGGATCTACCATGCCCAATCATGAAACCCTGAGGAACAAGACAGAAATGCTAAAGAATTGAGAAAATAGGTTAGACTAGGAGGGAAATGCTCAAGTTTCCTTCTATCCAAGGCTGCTGCCGTGTCCGGTCCAGAAGCAGATCATCAGACCAATTGGTTCTAAGTTTAAACTATAGCCTCGTTTTGGAGAACACCTGTCCAAGGATGTTCCTAAGGGTCCCAATAGCCTTTGTCAAAATGGTTTATTCTCTCAACGCAGGAGCTCAGGAAGGGCATCTTTGCAGAAAGCAAATCTGCTTCTGAAGACCTTTGTTGGCCTTCTTCCCGGTGTCATTTAGTAACTCTGTTTAAGAATAAATTTGGTCTCGTTATTTGGCTTCTCACGCCTGGGGTTTGAGAGAGCGTGAAACCAGGGGAATTGACAAGCTGGTGACACAGCAGTCCGAAATGCACGATCTTAGGACCTTTGGGAATCTGAGAAGGAAAATTAAGTATCTCGGGTAAGACTCAGATGGGGCAGACCAGCACAACATTGGACTTTTTGTACTGAATGGAGCTATGACTGAAATCCTCCAGGCACTCTGTCCCCGGGGAAATGACCATGCCTGAACAGGCAATGTCATCTGTGGAGGGACCTCCTCTGCTGCCCACAGAGAATGCTGAGGGGAGAGAGTCGCCACATGCCGACAGCAGGATCCACTGCACAACTGAAGCCGGAAAGTCTGGGTCCAAACAATCTCTGGCTCAAATCTGTAATGCTTGCTCTCATTGTCTTCCACATCCCTTTGAGGTCCTGCTTGGACCCCAGCCACCCAAAGAGCCATCCCTGGACTTGAAGCAACCACCAGTGGTTGACGTGCCTCTTGTATAATGAACCTCCTCTGACCAGCACATCTCCTAACCATCTCAATGTATCAAAACCTATCTGTCCTGGGTGAGCCCCTTTTATTCAGGCCACTTAGGAGGGCCTCACTAATAACTAAAGAACTCTGGTGATTTGGCGATTCAACATTTGGCTGATAATCAAGAGAGGGGCAGTTTAAACCCACCAGCCGTTCCTTGGAAGAAAGATGCTGCATTCTTTAAATTACAGAATTAGATTAAAGCCCTGGAAACCCTGTGGGGCAGCTCTGCTCTGTCCTACAGGAATCGACTCAGCAGGAACAGGTTTTTAAGTTAATGACTAGATAACTTAAGACATGATTTTCTATTAACGTCTCTCAGTGGCTACTGGCCTGGGACTTTTTCACAATTTAAACTCTCACAAGTCTGCTTGAGGCATAGGTTCTCAAACTTATTTGGCCTACCTTTCCCATTTTAGGAAGAAAAAAAAATTACTCAGAGGCCCCTAGCAAACAAAACCTTTTGTTACCATAGCCAACATTCCAAGATAAAGTGTAGGCATCTACCGTTGCAGCCCCACCCTGGATTATTCCAGTACTCCCCACCAGGGGGTGGTAGAGCCCACTTTGGGAAATACTGACTGAAAGCTTTAGCATTTGGTCCCATATCTTTAGTACCGTTCATATTTCTTTCGGAAATATCACAGATATCTGATCATTCATTGAACAATGACTTCAGTCCAAGTGTAATCCTTTCAGGAATGTGCAGAGGGGGTGCTTGTTGAGCATGCTGATCCCCAAGCCTCCCCAGTGAGGATGTCTCCAATGTGAGTTCTTACGCATCCTGCATCAGTAAATATCAGTGACACCCACATGCAGTAATGTGCTATACAGGTGTGGCTATCAGAGTGGATGTGAGAATCTCAAACACAAATAGCACCCCCTACTAACTTAAAGAATAGATTTGGGTCCAAAGACTCAAAGGACTACCATGTTGACCTTCCCCAAGACAGAGCAGATGAAGGTGCATGTCTCTCACTCCAAACCTGCTGATTTCCTCGCTATCTAGATCGCTTGCTCTTACCCGCTTCCCATCCTAGTCTATAAAGCCCCTGGCCCCTGAAGCAAAGCCAGTAACTCCCTGTCCGGGGTCCCCATGGCCCTGTGCGCATTCTGATTGTGATAATATTGGCGCCTTTACACCCTGCACTCTGGCCAACTTAGTCTCTCATGTGATCCTCATAAATTACAACTGTTGGCTGTGTGCTGCCCTGTTCACTTCTCCCAGCACAGTATATGGAACTTAATATGTATGCAATAAAGTTTGTTGAGTAACTGAGTGGATAAATAATCTTACCACTGAGCATGTTGGGAAGTTCTAAAAGCGCATTACCATCGAGTCCGTGCTGACTCCTATGGACCCTAGAGGACAGAGCGGAACTGCCCATGTGGGTTTCTGAGACGGTCACTGCTGACAAGGTGAGGGAAAACCTCCTCTTTCTCCTGAAGAAGTCTGGTGATTCCAAAGTGTCGGTGAGCAGCCAATGCTCAGCTCGCCGTGCCAACAGGGTGCCTGCTGGAAAGCTAGGCGGGTGAACTGGTTTAACCTTTTCTTTTACACGTACCCCGAGATTTCCTGGGAGTCTTTCACAAGAAGTGAGGTGCTCATTTTTGCAATCTGTTATTTCAAATACCACTCTAAATCGGGGGTCCGGCACCTTTTTTCTGCTAAGGTATATTTGAAGAGTAATTACGTCGCTCTCAGGCCCTTCAAAATTATCAGCTTAAAAATTAGCCTGCTACATTTAGTCAAACATTTCACTAATCCACCCCTAATAGGATGGCTGAAACTGCTTTTTTTTGGTGAGGTATGTGACTTTAGTTGGTACTGATGATTTTCACGGCCTATTCAGCCCGCTATCAACTGATAAACCAATCAATCACTTTGGAGCCCTGGTGGCCTTGTGGTTTAGGCATTGGACTGCTAACCACAAAAGTGGCAGTTCAAACCCACCAGCCACTCCACAGGAGAAAGTGAGGCGGCCTGCTTCCATAAAGATTTACAGCCTTGGAAACCCTATATACATGAACTCAATGACAGTGGGCTTAGGGTTTTGTCCTAATACATAAAGGAAGCAATGGCTATAGCCATCTGAAAGATCGTACCAACATAGTACACAAGGAAAACAGAAACCACACTAGGTGTTTCAAACAGAAAGGGTTTAATGCAGGGAATGGATCATACAAGTTTGCAAAGGCTGGAAGAGAGCCATTAAGATAGACCGCCCGGGTATTAGTAAATATAGGAAGTAGCTACTAACCTTAAGACAGGGGTAACAAAAGGGAAGAAATGGTGTTACCAGAACCTAGAAGCTTTGACGGGGGAACCCCCACGGCTGGTGCCTGGACCTCTGAGGGGGGAGCTGCGCGGCTGTTGCTTGGGCTTCTGAGGGGGGCGTGGCTTGGCTGGTGGTGGTCGGACTTCTGGGCGGGGGCGTGGTTGGCGCTCAGTCCTTGGAGGGGACCTTGGCTTGGCCGGTGCTCTGACCACTGCGGGGGGTGCAGCTGGCTGCAGCTTGGGCCTCTGAGGGGACGTTGCGCGGCGTCTGGTGCTGAGAGGGCCAAAAGATGCTGGAGGCTGGAGCCAGGGCTCTCCTCTGGTGCTTAAGGGATGCTGACAGGAGCTGCAAGCAGGAAGGCAGGCTCTGCTCCCCCTCCCACCAGTGCCTTCCAAAGGCAGAACTGGACAAGGAGCCAGCTACCACGGAGTGGGTGGGGGTCAGGGGAGCGTGGTTTGCACATTGCCGGTCCCAACATCAAGGAGCAGAGTCTGAAGGGCGGGCTTGGAGCTGAGAGTCAACAGTACGGACGACTTACCTGGTCTTCTGGCAGGCACAGCATATCCAGTCCTCTTCTTTCTTCTGGTAGAAGCAGCCGCTCTTGCAGATGCTGTATTTACGGTCCACGATCTCGCGTTTGGAGTTGAGGAACGTGAACGGAGGGCAGCAGCGTATGCTGAAGTGCTCAGAAAACTTCTGGTTCTTGGAGAGCTTAGGGCCGTCCTTTGCCATTCTCTGACTCATCTCACTGTAAACCGTCGGTGCAAGGAGAGATGGGGAGACGTTAGACAGGACACCAGGCAACGGAGGTTTCTACTCAAGGACCCCGTTCCCTGCTCCTCCCAGAGTTCAAATAACATCTATGGTTGCTCGCGTTCAGGATCGCAACAACACTCTCAACAACTGGCCAATGTCTTGCCCAACTCGATAGAAAGGCCTTGGATTGGGTTTTATTCATGTCTGGGGATATTTTTTAAATCATGTTTCCTAAGAGATAGAGGAACATGAGCTCTTCCCCCCCCCCCATGATGTTCCAAGAAAATGATTTAGAATTGCATAAACGATTAGAATTGCAATGGAAAAGCTTGACAAAGCTAAATATAAACATGGTCAGATAATATTCTAGACTTAGGAAAAGACCTTCTCTCTAAAAAGAAAATACTTATTTATTCTTGAAGCCTTAATCATTCTTCATATGATAAAATGCACAACCAAGAAAAAGAAGAAACTCTTAGTAAATATTTTATTTAGCATGATGTTTTCTTTTGTTCAGTTCCAAACTTGGCTGCACTGGAATCACCTGGGAGCTTTAAACACTACTAATGTTGAAATGCTAGATGCTGAAGGCTAAAGACTGAGAATAGCCCCATTCTCAGAGATCTTGATTGTATTGGCCTTGAGGTACATTCAACATGTTTGAATCTCACAAACATAAAGTTGAACAAAAGAAGCCAGCCATCAAAGAGTGCACGTTGTCTGACACTAGGTGTGTGCAGTTCAAAATCAGACAGCAGCAACCCAGAGGACTAGAACCAGTATTGGATATAGTGGGGGGAGTGAGGATCTGACTGAGAGAGGGCATGAGGGAGACTCATGCTGAGAGCCGAAAATGTTCTGAACCGTGATCTGAGAGGCGTAGAATGCAGGTGGGAAAGGTGTCTGTAAAAATGCAATGGGCTGTACTTTTACTTCTGTGCGTTTTACTTTATGCAAGTTCTAAAGTTTTACCTCACCATGAGAAGAAAGAATAATATAAATAAATGAATGAATGAATGAATAAGCAAACAATAACTAAATAAGTAAATAAATGGGTGGATGGATGGATGGATGAATGAATGGATAAATAAATAAATAAATGGAAATTTGAGGCTTGAGAAAAGTCCAAAAATCTAGGGGGCAGATTGAAAAGCTAAAGTTTTACAACATCCCTCTAGGAATGTAAAAATAGTCCTACTGACTCTCCAGAACACAAGTTTTGGAGCACACAAGTGACATAAATAGTAATTAATCAAAATGATAATCAAGAGTCAGCATGTACATGGGGAGTGGAGGGCACTTCCTGGATACACAGATGTTTCTGCTGCCAACATACATGAGGTCAATGTATGTTGCGAGCGGCCTTTCCCATTGCTGCACCTGTTTTATCATGCAAAAATCATTCATTTATGTGATTAAATTCTCAGTCTTGATTCAGACTTTAATAGTTTGCTTAGTGAGATCTTTCTCACTCCCTTAGCTGGGTTCCACTTCCATATATAGGTGCCTCCCTCTTACACATCTAACTTTCACTGGATCCTTTAAAAAGTATCAATACTTCTTCCTCCATTTCTTTCCTTTTTTCCCCTCCCTTTATTATCTCTTCAACACACTCCCATTTCCCACCTGTTCCTTTCGTTTTAAGGACAGTTATTTTGCCACAAGTCACCACAAAGACTTCCATGATGCTAACCCCAGCTGTCTTCTTTTTCTTAATTTTTAAAATCATTTTATGAGGAGCTCTTACAGATAGCATAACATTCCATAGTTCAATCACATCAAGCAGTATTGCACAATTGCTACCACAGTCAGTTTCAAAGCATTTTCTTTTTTCTTGAACTCCTTGATATCAGCTCCCCTTTACCCCTCCCTCCCCCACCTTACCCACCCAGAAACCCTTATTATTATATTATGGGATATCTCTATATATTTGCCATATGTTACAGCATCCAATGTATCCATTCGCCTACCATTCTGTTATTCATTGCCCCCGCATGGGGTTATACAGTCCTCATTGCTATCAGCTCCCCCTCCACCAACCCCTTCCTGTGTCCTCAGGGAATCATTACTCCTGTTACTGTTTCTGAAGGGTTATCGATCTTGGCTTTCATGCATCCAACTATCTTAATTACACAAATGAACCCATTTGATTCCTCTCTCTCACTCTAAATATTTCCCTTCCCTGAGATACCACATTCCCCAAGACCGCCACCCCTACCTTGACTCTTTCCTTCTCAATTTCACCTACATATGCTTCACACAAAATTTTAGTTCTTCACCATACAATCATATTACATACAACATACAATCAATACTAAGCAGATGGTGGAGTTATTTTCCACCATTCAATCCAGAGTGTATTAAATAGATACATTGTGGGAAGCCCAAGGTTCATTGCTTTGGTGCACACAAAGCTGAATGCTTAACTCAGTTCTCAAGACACTCTCCACTAGCTAGAGAGACAGGCAAGGTGTGCACAGTAAGTTAAAGGCCAGAAAACCCATTTGTTGCATTCAAATATTTACAATTCATTGAGGAAGATTAGGAGGGTGAACCAGATGTGCATTTGATGCATGAACATCAGTCTGAGCCATACAAGGAGCAGCATGCTCTGGGGCATAAGAACGTGCTGGTCAAATAGCGTAAGAAATTTACAAGAAAGGAAGCAATGAAAGGAGGCTTCAAAAAGTCTGTGGGGAATTTTCACTGTCTTTTCACTCCATTTTTCCATGAACTTTTTGGTGCTGTGAAGTACTTAAGGTGACTCTTCTAGCCATAGTCTTAGTAACACCAGCCCAAAGACTGAGTAGTCCTATGTGAATGTGGGATGTCTGTGGCCCACCAAGGACCATGGGGCACCCCTGTGGGGTGAGGCCATGAAAATGGGGTATGTGAACATTGATTTCGCCATCCCACTAGATTTAAAATGAGCCATCTCAGAAGCAGGTGTTGGGGTCTCATGCCATTGAGAAAGAAGAGCCAAGAGTGAAACACATCCTTTGGACCCTGAGATTCCTGTGCTGAACTTCAGCAATCCAGGATTCAGGCAGGTGGGACTCCAGAGGTGGCAGCAGAGAAGCAGCAAAGAAGCAGTGGCGGCAGACACTGCAGAAGAAAGGGCAGCAGACAGAGAGCACTGTGCTGCCCAGCTCACAGAGAGGAAGCTGAGCACCTCCGGGCTGCGGGCATGCTGAGAAAGAAGGGAACTCAGTTAGCCCCCGCCACAGAGCCCGAGGTGAGCACCTTCAAGGCAAGGCTGACTGAAATTCAAAGGGCACTTAATTGAAGGAGCCACGCTTGCCCAAGCAGAGCAGAGGCCAAGGGGCCACGGGGCTGAGAGCTATAAGAGCAAGAGCTAAAAAAGCAAAATAAAAAAACTTTCTAACACTTTCCCAAGGAGGTCAAAGGTCTGGGAGTGCCTGCAAGTATGGCTGAGAGGACCTCGTCCTGACCAAAGAACTGTCTCCTGAGTATTCCAGATCCTGAATTGTAACTCACTAAGAAACCTCATAATCCTGAGCATGGGCTGTGAGTTCTGGGTGGCCACTGTCACCATGGATCAAGCCTGGCAGAGTGGTTTCTGCTCCTTGTGTGGGCAGGACAGTAGGTGCCAAATGTGGCTTTTCAGCCTTTGCAAGGTGACCTCTGCCTCACAGGAATCGGCCTTGGAGTGAGGCTGACCTTGACTCTCCTTTCCCCTTCTGAGGTCAGAGGAGACCAGGTGTTACCTCCATGCCATTCTCACAGCTGGATTGGAGAACCAGATAAGACATCATTGTCGTTGTTGTTTCTGTTGGCCGGTACTGTGGCATGAGCTCTGATTCACCACTACTCAATGTACAACAGAAGGACCCCTGCCCGATCCGATGTCTCCTCACACCTGCCATCCAGGGTCAGCCCACTGTGGCTACGACGGCGTCAATCCATCTCATTGAGGGTCTTCCTCTTTTTCATGAACCTTCTGCTTCACCCAGCAGGACGGCCTTCTCCGTAGGTATGAATGTTTTATGAGCCACGAGATTCGGCAGGCTGAGAGAAAGGCTTTGGGAAGGATGAAAAGGGTGATACGGAAGCAAAGATGCAGAGAAGGAAAGACAGCATTTTTGAAAGCTCTTGACCCTGAACCACAGAGTGAGGGGAGAGAAGGAGTGCCCTGATGCAGGTGTGAGGCCGGAGAGGGGCTGCCCCTGACGATGGAGTGCCCTGAATCCTGGGGGGTGCAGACAACCAACATGCTTTCAAAAGTTGGAAATTTAAGTTCACTCAGAGGCCCTCAAGAGAAAGACCTACTATGGACTCCTGGAAAACCAGCCATTGAACCCTATGGAGCACAGCGTTACGCTGATGCAGACGGGCCACTATGAGCTGAAGTCAACTTGACAATAACATTCTTTCTTAACGATGCTTCTAGACAGGGTCATGCCATCAGCTGATCAAAGAGCAGGGACTTTTTTTTTAAATGGAAGGAAGAGAGATGATCTCATTGATTTGGACTTCTGTAAGTTTAGGGCACCCAGGAGATGCATATAGAAACAGCACCCAGCACTTGGAGCAAGTCTTGAGAATCTTGTTGACAGGAACAAATACAACCTTAGGACCAATGGGGTGATCATGGAGACAGATGAGAGAAAGCTCCTGGGAGGAAGGGTGGGCGCACCTCCAGGCTGCAGGAAGAGAAGCCAGGAAAGAAGGGGCATTAGGCACAGTCAGAGATGGGATTCTCTTGCAAGAGAAACTTCAAGGAGCAAGATATGATAAGCGTGTCCATGCAAGAAAGCCCTTTGTCCAAACAGGAATTGATGAACCGATGAGAAACTAGAGCTTCTGTACAGCATCTAAAGGGAGAAAGGCTGGGCTTTCTCGTCCCATAAAGGGTTAACACCTCCGAAACTCACGGGGGCAGGTCTACCCTGTCCTACAGCATCTCTTTGAGTTGTCATTGACCTGATCGCTGTGAGTTGGGTTTGGGTTTTTTTGTCTTGACCCATCATA